TGGGAAAGAATCACATTCCCTTGGCTTAGGAACCCTCCAAGGGCTTCCATTTAGGCTCAGCTTTCTGGTGACACCTAAGAAATGGATTAAGGAACTGCACAATCTTTAATCCAATTAAACGTTTCAAAAAGAAAGAAATGCAAAACAGAAATTATATTTTGTCAAGTGCTGGGAGATGCGGTGGAGAGGGAAAAAAGTCACAGCCAAAGTGTGTTTGTCCTCTGTTGACCTTTGCTTTGCTTCAAGGTGACAGTGGCTGGAAAAAGAATCATACCCCAGGTTTTGCTATTTCATAAAACAAAGGAACCTGTTTTTGCACAGGTAGCATTTGCCCTAGGAATTGTATATGTACCTGTTTTTGCACAAGTTGAATTTGCCATAATAATTGTATACGCATCTGTTTTTGTACAGGTTGAATGTGCCTTAGGAATTGTATATTTATTTATTATTTACTAGCTGTACCCGCCACGCGTTGCTGTGGCCAACCTTCCCTCGCTCTTTGTCTCCTTCTTTCTTTGGGGGGAGATGTAGTGCATGCACACACACACACACACATACGGGTGTGGATAATATGATAATGTCTATGTTGAAAGGAAGTTGTGGATGTTAATTTTCCTATATTTCCTCAACTCTCCCCTCCAATACACACAGTCACGCAGGAAATAAGTGGCTCTGGTGGAGTGCATGTCTTGAGGGGTTATTGTGGGGATGATCTTGCATGTGCATTCCTTCCACTACATTTTCACAACTCCACACACCATACGCACTCACTGTTGCTCTGCCAACATGTGTATGTTGCCAAGTTGTAAAAGATAGATAGATAGAATGGTTTTCAATTCAGATAGCAGTTCAAAAACATGCAAATGTGAGTAGAGCAATAGGCACCACTCTGGCAGGAAGGTAAGGGCTCTCCATGCAGTCATGCCAGTGGCCACACGACTTTGGAGGTGTCTATGGACAACGCCAGCTCTTCAGCTAAAAAATGGAGATGAGCACCAGAGTCCCAGAGTTGGACATGACTGGATTTAATGTCAGGGGGAAACCTTTAGCTTTAACCTATACACACAGTGTGGATATGCTATTGTGTGTTTTGTTTCATGAACAAATTGTGGGACTATAGATATCCTATGCTACCTTCCCAACTGTCCTCCCTCCCTGACAGGGGCAGACCCCCCTCATTGGTCAGGCTCTGCCCCAGCTCCTGGCTCCCCCCTCCTTTGCTTGGCTTCACCATCCCCACCAAGTTGCAATGGAAATGGCTGTGATGGGCTCTGAGCCTGGGGTCCGCTGCTACTGCTGCCTGTGCTTCTGCCTCCTCCTCCTCCTCTTCTTCTTCCTCTATGTGGGTCCCCCTTCAGTCTCTCTCCTGCCTCAGAAGCTTGGTGGGGGCTGGAAGCCTTGGAAGTGCCCACCTTTGCAAAGGCAACGGGAAGAGCCAAGAGGAGGGAAGAGAGGAGGTTGCCTCTCTCTCTCTCTATCCCCCAGGCTGTGCAAGGCATGCTCTCTCCTCTTTTCCCCATGCTTCCTTCTTTCTTTCCGCCCTTCTTCCTTTCTCCCTTTCCTCCATTGCCACAGCAGGCAAGGAGGAAGGTGAAGAGGAAGGGGTCATGCTGCCATGAGGGAGGAAGCTCCCTGCCGCGGTGAGGGAGGGAGCTCGGTGCCGCTCGCTGTGCCAGTTCTGTTTGTATGGCCGTGTGGCTCAATGCTGTAACGGCTGCTCTTCCCTTGTGTGGATTTTTGGGGTTTCTGCTGTTTCTTTGGGGGTTTTTTTGAGTGGAGGACATAAATTGGGTTGTTAGGTGTATCGTGTCCAAATTTGGTGTCACTTCCCCCAGTAGTTTTTGAGTTCTGTGAATATCACAAACAAACATCAGATCTGGCCACAGTGGTCCATGCTCTTGTCACATCCCGGTTGGATTACTGCAACGCACTCTATGTGGGGTTGCCTTTGAAGACTGCTCGGAAACTACAACTAGTCCAGCGAGTAGCAGCCAGATTGCTCACCGGAGCGACGTACAGGGAGCACACCATCCCCCTGTTACATCAGCTCCACTGGCTGCCGATCCAATTCCGAGCACAATTCAAAGTGCTGGTTTTAACCTACAAAACCCTATACGGTTCCGGCCCAGTGTATTTGTCCGAACGGATCTCCCTCTACGTCCCATCTCGAAATTTAAGATCGTCCGGGGAGGCCCTGCTCTCGACTCCGCCACTATCACAAGTGAGGTTGGCGGGGACGAGGAGTAGGGCCTTCTCAGTGGTGGCCCCTCACCTGTGGAACTCACTCCCCGGGGAGATTAGATCAGCGACCTCCCTTCTGACGTTCAGGAAAAAACTGAAGACCTGGATATGGGACCAAGCTTTTGGACAGCTAAAGGAAAATCTGACGACAAACATGGACGAATGGAATGGAATGGATATACGGACTCTGAACACTGAGCATGAGATTGTTTTGCTATTTTATTATGTACTAATGTTTTTAACTTGTTAACTGTCTAAATTGTTGTAGGTATTGTTTGTTTATTGATTCAGGCATCGAATTGTGCCGTTGTTTGTAAGCCGCCCCGAGTCCCCCCTCGGGGGTGAGAAGGGCGGGGTATAAGTAATTGAAATAATAAAATAAAAAAAACATTACATTTTTATTTATATAGGTTATTTATTTATTTACAGTATTTGTATACCGCTTTTCTCACCCCGAAGGGGATTCAAAGCGGTTTCCACATAGGTAATGGCAAAATTCAATGCCAGCACAAACAATTACAATTATACAATTACAGTTAAACATAAACCAAATTAAAATACATCCATAAATAGTAGAACAATCATTAAAACAGTAAAACAGTCTCATCCGTCGGATCGCCGTTCCAGTCATTGTCTTTCTGAAATGCTGCATACATTTGTTTCTACTGTATTTTGCAAAATATATGAATTTTGCACAGGTTGCATTTGCCCTAGGAATGGTATATGTACCTGGTTTTGCATAGGTTGAACTTTGCCCAGGAATGGTATATGTACTTGTTTTTGCACAGGTTTAATTTGCCCTAGGAATCGTATATATATATATCTGATTTTGCACAGGTTTTGCTCTAGGAATGGTATAAGTACCTGTTTTGCACAGGTTGAACTTTCCCCAGGAATGGTATATGTACCTGGTTTTGCACAGGTTTAATTTGCCCTAGGAATTGTATATTACCTTTTTTTTTGCACAAGTTGAATTTGTCAGAAATATTGAATATTAACTAGGTAATTTTAATTACAAAAATGTGAGTCAAGCGCTGAAAGGGTTAAATGGATGCAACCACTCAGCAAAAGCTGCAGTTCAATATAAGTAGGTGTGCCTGTGAGAGGTCTCTGTGGGAGAAGAGCCTCAGTGTGTTCGTAGGCCTCAGTATGAGAAGGCCTCAGTTTTAGTTCACTTCAGTGTGAGAGAGGCGTCAGTCTGAGAGATCCCTCAGTGGGCAAAGGCCTCAGTGGGAGAAAGGCCTCAGTGGGAGAAGGCCTCAGTGGGAGAAGGCCTCAGTGGGAGAAAGGCCTCAGTGGGAGAAAGGCCTCAGTGGGAGAAAGGCCTCAGTGAGAGAAAGGCCTCAGTGAGAGAAAGTGGGAGAAGGCCTCAGTGGGAGAAAGGCCTCAGTGTTAGTAGGCCTCAGTGTGAGAAGGCCTGGTGTTACAAGTGTCAGTGAGAGAAGCCCCACACACCATTGTGTGTGAAGCTCGTATGTGAAAACTGCTGTGCATAAAAAGCTACTGTGTGAAGCTTCTGTGTAAGTTCGGTGAGAGGAGAGGCTCTGTGAGAACAAAGCTGTGTATCCGCATGAGAAAGAAGCCAGCGTGGAAGCAAAGAAGGAAGTATAAAGAACTTTATTTATGTTAAGGAAACCTTTTTCTTGTAAACAGCACAACCATATTATTTTACTACAAAGAAAAGCCTCCTATGGAAGAGATAACATTGGTCTCTGTATTTTGGTTCTTTTTATCACTTTGGGCTATTTATTTATTTACAGCTTTTCTATTCCGCCCTTCTCACCCGGCAGGGGACTCAGGGCGGATTACAGTGTACACATATATGGCAAACATTCAATGCCAATTTTGACATACAAACATATACAGACATACACAGAGGCTATTTAACTTTTTCTGGCCGCCAGGGGAGCTGTCGCTTTCATTGTCCATCTGCGACACTGATGAAGCACTTCCGCATTCCCCGCATGCTTCCCCGCTGGAATGCTTTGCTGGAGTCTTCTTTATGGCCTCATAAATCAGTTAATTTAGCCTCCCCACACTTTAAGGTGGTACCTTATTTTCCTACTTGACAGATGCAACTGTCTTTCGGGTTGCAAAGGTCGACAACAGGCTACACACAATTGATTGGAAACACACTCCAACCCGGGCTACTAGTGCTGGGTCATACTGTTGTTATTTTACTCTGCTGTGCATTTATGAGGAGGGTCTTTTGTTACTAAGCCCACTCACCCAACAGAATTTGCCCCAGGAATGGCATATGTACCTAGTTTTGCACAGGTTGAATGTGTCCTAGGAGTGATACAAATATCAGTCACTAGGTGGCATTTGGACAACTTTTTTAGGGTTCCAATATCAAGCTAATTTAACCCCCTTTGAGGTTGGGACCCACAGTTTGTGAAGCACTGCTCTCATGGAACTCTATGTCCAACTTTCTTGGACTATGGCTTCTAGAATCCACCATCCAGTATGTACATGCTGTTTGGGGGATTCCTACAGTTCAAAATACAATATCTTCCCCATTGGTCAGGGAGGTCTGCCTCTGGTCAGATCAAATTCTTCCTTGTTTTGTGTCAGGCACAATTTTCTATAGGTTATATGCTGGACATTTCCCCATGGGCTCATTTGACGCTATGTTTGGAAACGATTATCCTGCCTTCTCTGGGGTCTCATTTCGGAGGAGAACCGGTCCAACAGAAATGCTGAGTTGGGCTTCTCTCCTTCCCGCCGCCCTAATCGTTCCCATTTTGCTTTCCTTCCAGACGTGGATGAATGCCAGGTTCACAACGGAGGCTGCCAGCATAGATGTGTGAATACTCTGGGATCCTATTACTGCGAGTGCAAGCCAGAGTTTCGTTTACACACCGACGGCAGGACCTGTCTTGGTAAGTTGTAGAATTTGGTGGCATCTCTGCCCCTTCTGTCATGACATTCAAGGCAGGACACACCTTGTTATTGCCAAATTCCCTCAAGACTCATGGAAGCTCTAAGGCAGTGTTTCTCAACCTGGGGGTCGGGACCCCTGGGGGGGTTGCGAGGGGGTGCCAGAGGGGTCACCTAAGACCATCAGAAAACACAGTTGCTCATGGGGGTTCTGTGTGGAAATTTTGGCCCAATTATATCGTTGGTGAGGTTCATAATGCAACTTGATTGTAAGTGAACTATAAATCCCAGCAACTACAACTCCCAAATGCCAAATCTCATTTCCCCAAACTCCACCAGTGTTCACATTTGGGCATATTGAGGATCTGTGCCAAATTTGAGTCCACAGTGCTCTCTAGATGTAGTTGAACTACAACTCCCAAACTCAAGGTCAATGCCCACTAAACTCTTCCAGTATTTTCTATTGGTCATGTGAATCCTGTGTGCCAGGTGTGGTTCAATTCCATAGTTGGTGGAATTGAGGATCTGTGCCAAGTTTGGTCCAGATCCATCATTGTTTGATTCCACAGTGCTCTCTAGATGTAGCTGAACTACAACTCCCAAACTCAAGGTCAATGCCCACCAAACTCTTCCAGTATTTTCTATTGGTCATGGGAGTTCTGTGTGCCAAGATTGGTTCAATTCCATCATTGGTGGAGTTCAGAATGTTTTTGATTGTAGCTGAACTATAAATCCCAGCAACTATAACTCCCAAATGACAAAATCAACCCCATCAGTATTCAAATTTGGGCATATTAGGTATTTGTGCCAAATTTGCTCCAGTGAATGAAAATGCATTCTGCATATCAGATACTTACATGATGATTCATAACAGGAGCAAAATGACAGTTATGAAGTAGCAACGAAAGTAATGTTATGGTTGGGGGTCATCGCAACATGAGGAAATGTATTTAGGGGTCACGGCATTAGGAAGGTTGAGAAACACTGCTCTAAGGTGAGTTCATCATAGGGTTTTCTGGGGCAAAGGGTTTGTGACTCACCCAGTGGGCTTCCATGGTCTCCAGAATTGTAGTCCAGCATTCAAACCACTGTATCTGTATGCTTGTCCAGTATGTCCTGCTTCATGTACAGAGGAAGAATTGTTGGAGGCTACAGACATTGCCACTGCTGTTGCCCGTTTTTGGTCAAAACATATTTAGCCGCCTGCGCTCCTTCTATTTTTATCAGTTTTATACGAATATATGCGATGCTTTTTATACGAAATAAATAAATAACTCAGACCACTATGTCACACTCTTAACATTACAGTGCTGTAAGTAAACTTACAATTTCCTTGCTACTTTGGTCAGTAGTAGGATAAGTTTGTAAATTTACCTTCTCAGTGTTTGCACTGAAATAGGTCCCAGTGTGTTCAATGAAAAAGCAATCTGCATCAGTTGCTCCCAAAGTGACCCATTTAAGGTGGAATCAGGTGTCAAACAGGGATGTGTTATTGCCCCAACTTTATTCTCCATCTTCATCGCTATGATACTTCATCTTGTTGACGGGAAGCTTCCCACCGGAGTGGAAATCATCTATCGGACAGATGGCAAGCTATTTAACCTCAGCAGACTGAAAGCCAAAACCAAGGTTACAACAACCTGTTATAGAACTCCAGTATGCTGATGACATCGTCATCTGTGTGCATTCAGAAGAAGACCTACAAGCCACTCTAAACACCTTCGCAAAAGCTTGGCCTGTCATTGAACATCAAGAAAACCAAGGTGCTGTTCCAGCAGACACCAGCCAACCCCTCTCCAATGCCAGTGATACAGCTTAATGGTGTACATTAGAAAATGTTGACCACTTTCGTTCCCTTGGTAGCCACCCCGCCACCAAAGTCAACATTGACATGGAAATACAACACTGCCTGAGCTCTGCAAGTGCAGCATTTTTCATAATGAAGCAGAGAGTGTTTGAGGACCAGGACATCCGTAGGGAGACCAAGGTGCTTCTTTATAAAGCTATTATCCTCCCAACCCTGCTATATGCCTGCGAAACGTAGACTGTCTACAGACGTCACATGCAACACCTAGAATGATTCCATCAGCGCTACAAATCCTGCAAATCTCTTGGGAGGACAAGTGGACAAATGTCAGTGTGCTGGAAGAAGCAAGGACCACCAGTACTGAAGTGATGGTCCTCCGCCATCAACTCCACTGGACCAGCCACGTTGTCCAGATGCCCGACCACCATCTCCCAAAGCAGTTGCTCTACTCTGAACTCAAGAATGGAAAGCGGAATGTTGAAGGACAGGAAAAGAGATTGAAAGATGGGCTCAAAGCCAACCTTTAAAACTCTGGAATACACACTGAGAACTGGGAAGACCTGGCCCTTGAGTGCTCCAACTGGAGGTCAGCTGTGACCAGCAGTGCTGCAGAATTTGAAGAGGCACGAATGGAGGGCGAAAGAAAGAAATGTGCCAAGAGGAAAGCGTGTCAAGCCAACCCCGACCGGGACCGCATTCCACCTGGAAACCAATGTCCTCACTGTGGGATAAGATGCAGATCAAGGATAGGGCTCCATAGTCACCTACGGATCCACCCTGGAGGATTATTCTACTTGGACAGAAAATAATAATAATAATAATAATAATAATAATAATAATAAGCTCAATGGAGGCAACACCATCAAAGCCATAAACACCTGCGCCATACCTAAGATATACTGCTGGCATCATAAACTGGCTGCAGGCAGAACTGGACAATTTGGACAGAAAAACAAGAAAATTCATGACCATTCATAATTCATTACATCCTCGCAGTGATGTTGACTGGCTCTATCTGCCTAGAAGGTCTGGTGGCAGAGGACTCTTACAAGTCAAACAAGCAGTCGAAGAAGAAAAACATGCCCTGGCAGAATATGTCAAGGAAAGCCAAGAACCTGCTTTAATTGAAGTCAATAATCGGAAACTTCTCAAATTACAGCAGACAAAGAGTCAGTACAAGAAAACTGCATTCCAAACCAGATCTGATAGCTGGCACAACAAAGCCTTGCATGGGCAGTTCCTTGACAAAATGGAAGGAAAAGTTGACAAGGAGAAGACCTGGTGATGGATCACAAATGGAAACCTGAAGAAGGAGACAGAGGAAGGCCTGATTCTTGCAGTCCAGGAGCAAGCCATCAGGACAAAGGCCATTAAGGTCAGGATTGAAAAATCAGCTGATGACCCAAAATGCAGACTGTGCAAGGAAGCGGGTGAAACCATGGATCATCTCAGCTGCTGCAAGAAAATTGCACAGACGGACTACAAACAGAGGCACAACTCTGCGGCCCAGATGATTCACTGGAACTTGTGTCACAAGTACCACCTACCAGCAGTAAAGAATTGGTGGGATCATAAACCTGCAAAAGTAGTGAAAAAATACGCAAAAATACCGTGGGACTTTTGAATCCAGACTGGCAAAGTTTTGGAACACAATAGACCAGACATCATGATTGTGGAAAAGAAAAAGTTTGGATTATTGATGTCACCATACCAGGTGACAGTCGCATTGAAGAAGAAAAACAGGAAAATCTCAGCCGTTATCAAGACCTCAAAATCGAACTGCAAAGGCTCTGACATCAACCAGTACAGGTGGTCCCAGTGGTAATGGGCACACTGGGAGCCGTGCCAAAAGATCTCAGCCGGCATTTGGAAACCATAAACATTGACAAAATCACGATCCGTCAACTGCAAAAGGCTACCTGACTTGGATCTGCGCGCATCATTCAAAAATATATCACGCAGTCCTAGACGCTTGGGAAGTGTTCGACTTGTGATGTTGTGATATAATATCCAGCACAGAGATCTCATTTGCTGTGAAATACTGTGCTTTTGTGTCATTAAAATAATAATAATCATCATAATCATAATAATCATATACTTTATTTATATTTTGCTTGATCTCCCTGGGGGGATATGGCAAAAATTCAATGCTGTTATTAGGCCTGTTTGATCAAGAAAAAATTTGTTTCTAAAATCGATTTGTAATTGGGGTGTTTTTTTGTTTCGATATTTAAAATAATTACAAAACTTTCCCAAAAAAAGTTTTGGTATTTAAGAAATTTTGTAAATATTAACGAATTTTTAGAATATTTTTTGTATTTCTTAAGAATAATATTAAAATAATATTAAAAAATATTTTAAAATGGAAAATTAACCAAAAAATGGCCCAAATGTGGACCAAACACAGGCAGGATACAGCAAATGAGAGCACACACCAACAGAAGAGTCTTTTCTTTTTTAGAATATTTTTTAAGAATAATATTAAAATAATATTAAAAAATAATATTAAAATAATATTAAAAAATATTTTAAAATGGAAAATTAACCAAAAAATGGCCAAATGTGGACCAAACACAGGCAGGAGACAGCAAATGAGAGCACACACCAACAGAAGAGTCTTTTCTTTTTTAGAATATTTTTAAGAATAATATTAAAAAATAATATTAAAAATAAATATTAAAAAATAATATTAAAAAATAATATTAAAAAATATTTTAAAATGGAAAAGTAACCAAAAAATGGCCCAAATGTGGACCAAACACAGGCAAGAGACAGCAAATGAAGCAAGGCAGCACTCACAGCAGCAAGGAATGAATCCAATCCCAGTTGCTAGCAGCCATTGCCAAGCCAAACCAATGCAAACTCCCTCGCCCTCTGCAGCAAGCTACGGGCCGCGCGGAGCCTCTTTGAAAGGGCTCGCCGGCCAATCAAAAACAGACAGCCACGGACCCATGGTGCACTGCTTGGGAGCGCCGGATTGGCTCCCATGCACCAGCACTCCAGCAGCCTCCACCCCATTAACGAAACGAGCGGAGGCTCGTTAAAACTATGGGGGTTGCTGGTTCGATATTTAAAAACCCTTCCGGGTTTGGAAATATGTTTCAATATCGCTTCGGAAATGCCAAAAATAACGAATTAATAACGAATTAACGAATTAACGAACGAAACCGCACAGGCCTAGCTGTTATACATAAA